GAGTGGATGATGGATGATGATTTCCCTACGAATTCTTCCTCTGCACAAGCGCTGGAGACGTCGATGTCAAAAAGCTCGCCACTTGGTCTTGATGGTGATGCTGGAGGACAGGAGACGATGGATGGGTTTGCCAAGTTTGCCGGAACAGAGGGGAGGGATGAGATTGCGATGTATAGGGAGGCAATGAAGGCCAAGGATCGGAGGATGAAGGGTTTGCCGGCCGAGGAAATGATAGGTTAGTCGAGTTGGTTGAGGTTTCAAGGCGTGTGCTGATTGGGCTTTTCGTAGAGAAACCACCAGGGCTGGATGTACCCGAAGTTTCGTTCCTCTTGCCGACAGCGAGAAGAGCACCAGCTGTATCAGATACTGCAACTGTCGAGCCAGCGCATCACACCACAGCCGGAACGAGTCGCGCAAGTCGATTTATGAAGCGCTCCGATGCAGAGAAACAACCGCAGGGCGCTTCCAGTGATACAGGAAACGAAAAGACGGCGTTGCTTGCTGGTATCTTGGGCATCAAGCCTGGCATGTCGCCAGCCAATGCCACAGCGTCGCCGCAGCATGCACACGTCCCACCTCAGAACGCACATGTGCCACCGACTTTGGGAATGCCAATGTTCTTCTCCGGTCCACCTCCATCCGTATCGCCACTCGGTCAGCCTGCAGGGCCGCCAGGGAAATCGGACGACCACATGAGTCGGCTGTTGGGCATGTTGAATACGTCTGGCTCACCGGCAACAACTCCGGCACAAGCTTTCATGTCGCCCAATCTGCCGATGCAGAGACCCAACACACCACCCGCTCCCGCTCCTGTCTCTGCTCCTGTCGCAGGTCCCGCCGCTCGCGAGTCGAGATTCTTTGGCAGGCAGTCCACCGCACCCTCTGCTGTCCAGAGCCCCGTTCAGTCGCCGAATCAGCCTAGACAACGTGTTGCCGATTCGCGTACTGCCGAAGCCCGTGCCGCTGAGCTTCGCGGGGACAGCGATCAGACAAACCGAAATCCTGGGCAGCAGGCGCCTACTAGCGCAAGAGACGGTCCTCCTGGACTGCACACGACAAGATCGTCCGACGCACAACCACCTCAGCCGCCGTCCGGCATGTTCCCGCCAGGTCCGATGATGGGCCCTCCGTTCGCACAGGGACAACCCATGCAGCCTCCAGGAATGCAAATGGGACGTCCTCACCCTACATCTCCGCTTGAACACGATGCAGCAAGGCAAGGCATGTTTCCTCCCTCCAATTCCGCCATGCCACCACCTTTCTGGCAGCAAGGTCCTCCGCCACCCTTCGGGATGATGCAGATGCCTCCGCCTCCAGGATACATGCAGCAACAGGGATTTCCGCTACCGCCAGGAGCAATGCCGCCGCCGCAAGGAGCTCCGATGATGATGTCGTCTCACCACCCTCACATGTCACCAGCGTTCAGCGCCATGTATCCGTCGACAGCAGGTGGTCCGGGTCCGCCGCTTGCTTCTCCTCTACCGGGTGGACCGTACGGTATGCCTATGCCGCATATGCAGCCGTTCCCTGGAGCACGACCGGCAGGGTATCCTCCATTCCCGCCTGGCATGTCGTCGGGACAGCCACCGCAACATCAGCAACAGCAGCAGATGACGCATGACTTGATGAGTTTATTGGGTAGTATGCAGGCCAAGACTGGATGAGGGGGGAAGCGTGATACGAATTGGAGGCGGAGCTCAAGTTCAGCTTACGCCGTCTGGGGATAAGTAGACGTTGCTGCCGTTATATCTTCGGAGCACAATCGTTGGTTTTGTCGTATCTATCATGCTTTTCCTTGACGGCAATGCTTGCATCGCAGCGTCTGCTAAACAAAACATAGTCCAATTTCGTCGTCACAGCTTTACCGCCAGAATGCGACTCCGGCAACCCGCGAGTGACGAAGCAGTCTAAAGCTCATAACTACTGCAAACCCCGTCGCCTTCGACGGCTGGTTGTGTTCCCCCACGAACGATGCTTTCCCGCTCGGTCTAGCGACTGTCCTTTGGGTGGCCGAAAATCTGATATAATGAACAACAATACAAACGGGTAAATCTGCGCACTGTCTCCAAGGAAGTTTGGAAAATTCTGATCACGTCACGCTGGACCCTCGTGGAGGAGAATAGAGCGTCTCTCGTGCGCTCATCAGTCACGAATGGCCTCGTCCAGTACATCGCTCTAGCGGCAGCGTCCTTGGCGCCGACGAGTAGTAGAGCGTCACTGCAAGCACGTCTTCAGACCGTAACGTCGTTTGGTATAGACAGGTGTTTGAAAAATCAGGGAGAAGTATGCATCACAACAGACCTAAGAACCGGAATCTCTGAGACGATTCTCAGGCTCTGGGTCGCTGCTCGCGGCCCTTCGATAGCGCGAATTGTAAGTCGAAGCCGCACCTCTGAGGAAAGGAGGCCTCCTCGCTCGTCCTCCTTTGGCTTCGACGCCACTATGTGGTGCGAAATCGCCTTGTATTGGTCGCATGTGCTATCCTGGGGAAGCGCCGCAAAGCACACAGCAAGCAGAGCGGGGAGGGGTATCGAAGAAGATTCTTTGTTTGTTGTTTCATTGTCCAAAACAGCAAGTCTTTGCGCCGCGGGGGATGTACGCACATATAAGAACCGACGCAATGTCGGTCGACGTTTTCTAATTGCACTGCCTTTCGGGGTTTCTGCACCACCCAAAACATCACATCGCAGCCCCACATATCCGGAAACGCATCGAGTTACTGTGCAGTGACAATGGCTTTACCCCGAGAGAGAGTCACGCAAGAGCAGTTGAAAGAACTTAGACAAAGACCAGATTTCAAAAGCGATGATGCCATCACAGCAGCCGGGATTTGTTTCAGAGAGATCAAGCGAGATTTGAATGAGATCGACCTAAATTCGAGGCGTGTTAGAATCATGCGCAGGGAATTCAACGACGCAGCATTGTTCGCCTTCAAACTGATCATCTTCGGACTGAAATTCCCGCCCCATGGACGAGACTTACTACTAGAGGTGTCCATCAGTGCTATGACGGAATATTACGAGCATTTGTCTGCGCATGATATGCACTGGCATAGAAACATGGGAACCATATTTCGGCGCATGACTTGGCTCTTTCCGGATCAGAATGAAGAAGCTGACATTCGTGATCTTGATGATTCGACAACAACCAGCCCAGCTGAAACGACAAACTATGAGGACACGCTGCCTACCTTGCTCATTCAGGTGCCGGAATTAGCGAAAAAGGTTGAAAGGGTACTCGGGACTTCTGTTTATAATGAAGATGCTCATAGTCTGTATACAGTGCTGCGAGCCAAGTGTGATGAAGGGCCCTGTCAAGGGGGTTCTGCCTCCTCAAAGCCGCCGAAAACCTCCTCGGATATCGCAGAAAGCCAAGAGCATAGTTGGTCGCATTATGGGACCACCTCGCTCGACCTCAGCCCCAGAGATACCTTGGAGACGCCCCGGTCGAATGATGCAAGCATTTCCCGATTCCTCGCAAGCTTGATGGCAGCTTCAACGGAGAATGAAAAGAGACTGAACGGGTCAACGGAGAATCTCGTCGTTGAGTCGTCGTTGGCTACGGAATTCGAAGACACGCTACGCATTTTGGAAGATGGTGTAGAGAGGCGTACAGCTTGCGAAACTTCTGGACGCAACCACGGCATCACCAACCTGCGAGAACCCTTAGGTGAGAGCAAAGCGAAACGACGGCGTTCCCCAACCCCAGATTCGCAGCGAAAGCTGTTGAAAGCTATCACTCCTCCTCCCGACTCCCAACACGGTGCGTTTTTAAATCGCATCATTACACCGGAACCCACGGCTGTATCGGGATTCCCGGCCGAGGATCTCACCTCTACCAGTATCCTGCCATCATATTTTTCGGGGGTACAGACTGCAGATGATGACCCATGGTATTTCGACAACCAGACTCAACACTTGGGCAGTGAACCGCCTTCGAACTCGGTCCTTGACGATGAATGAGTCACCATCGACCTCCGTCCGATGAGATCCCGCCGAGTGGGTGCATCGTGAGTCTGTTTGGTAGAACATAGTAGCACAGGGAATCATAAGCTTACCGCGACCGCGAAACGTTTTTTTTGGTACCTCAGGTGGCAGACACAACTCTTGTTACGTTTTCGCATCAGCTACTCCGTCTCCACACACGGTAGACGAAAGCTGAAGACACTTACCTATTATTGGACAACCAGCGGGCCATTCCATCGTTGTACAAACACCAAATAGCACATGTGATCAAAGTTGAATTTATTGCACTCCTCTTTTACCGATTGATTATTATGCATGATGATGGCCCCGTACTTGTTGCCACTCTGCTGCCTAGCTTGCAAGTTCGTAGACTGAGGATTCGAGCGCGTGTGAGGGCACTAGGTGAGTTAGTCAGGTCACCGAGAGTGGCGTTTGTACCAGGAGGAGCGAGGGATAAGAGGTCACGCACCGCCCGGATACCCACATACATGCGGGAGCACGCTGTTAACTCGTGGATGGGAAATAATAATTTGGCGAACGATGCTTGTTTCCACTTCGAGGCGGCATAGGCGCGGCCGGGGAGATTGCTGGGATGATTACACTTGTTCAGGAGGGAGAGTGGCACGATGCGCGGAAGAAAGGTCGCGTTGTATGGTACTGGGGCTGCTCTAAGTCGTGGTGGCTGGCGCCTCAGTCGCATTCAGTAAAATGGTATCATCAGGGTTCCGAACCAAATTGTCCACCACCTGACATGCCTATATCATAAGCAGCCAGGTAGGTGGCTTCTACCATCTCAGTTGTTCATTATATGTATATGTTATAGTATGAAGTCTCCTCCAGAGTCGTCTCCAGTGTCCCTGCAATATTCCAGGACCTTGAGTTGTTGACGGTGTTCAATGTCCTGTAGTTCACTGAGTTTTGCTCGGAAACTCGTCATTCACATTCAGGCTTGTTCCCAAGACCCTTCCGAACAAAATAAGACATCGGTCGAGTCGATGGGATGCCTGGAAGGTTCACAAAAAGAGCAAAAAACGTTGACCCCTGCCCGATTTGAACGGGCGACCCTCGGATGGCGTTTATGGGCTCAGTTGAGCCGGATATTGGAATCCGATATAATAACCACTATACTAAGGGGCCTGGTGTTGTTTGTGTTCAGGTTGTGTGACTATAGCCTGCAATTTGCGGTCAGGAGATCCGTTTGCGTTCTTCCCACAACCACCTCCTCCTTGTCCCGATCTTTTCTTCGTCAACGCCGTTCAAGTTTCACATTTCTCGATCGATCGTATGCGTCGTATGCGCCCGCTGCTATGTTGCCGGAATGACGTCATCGACGTAAGGGGGTTCTGTCCAGGTTTCTCATCTTTCGGGGACCGTCTCCAAGGAAGCTAAGGGAGTCAATCAGCTGAGCATCTTGTCTGCCCCTTGTGCGTTTTATCGACACTGCTATATCCGCATCTGCATCCCAGTACCTTGACATCCCCAGCATAAAGAGAGGCTACTAGTTCAAGCATACCGCAACGCGCATTGTATCGCTATGTGGGTCGGATATCATATCATGTGCGACTGAGTGAGTCAGGACTGGCACGAGTGAACGCGTTGTGTCTGATACAAGCCCGCAGCGGAACATGCAATTGAACGGACTGCTGATATACAACGTGTTCGCGTCGGCACGTCTGAGATGTCCCAGCACTACATGTCAAGCATATGGCTAGTCTTGTGTGGACTCATTTCGTCGTCCCCGTTGAATTAAGGTACTGCCAAGGGGAGTTTGTACACTCCGATCGGGATTGTGCGTTATTGCTCGCCGGAAAAGACGACATGCATCCACGTACCTCATATCGACAACGTCATCGGCCTCCATACATACGTCAGCGATAGATAGATAAGATACCCTGCCAATCGATAGAACTCGTGAATGCTGTACAAGATGGCGAATAGAATACAAACCGCGAATACCACCCAAAGCGTGGATAGACTACGCGGTGAGATGTACCACGATACATGACGAAATTTTTTGCAAGTGGTCCGGACAGAACCCAATGTACTCTCCCACTTGAATACGACTAAGACCCAATGGTGTTGGCGAGTCCTTACATTCAGTCGTTGTCCTCGAGAGGCCCGTTGCTCAATCGGGATATGATGTCGTCAGAATACTCGAGGCAGAATCGAACTCCTCAATCAACGCAGATATTTGGTCAGAAAGTAGCGCCAAGGGATCCGGGCCATCTGCTAGCTCGGTCCTGATACGCGCATCCTTCTCCCAGGCAGTCCTCGCCTCTTCCACTGGAACGTTGATAAAGACTACTGGAAAGGGTAGCGGGGAGTAGCCTTTCGACTCTTCAAACTTGTCCAATCCCGTCCACTCCTGCTTGAGCAAATAGGCTTCCTGCTTACTGAGTTGAGAGGTCCAGAATCCTTGCCTTTCGACCTCGCGATTGATTGCTTCAGCCGTTGTGACCCAAAGACCTTGATACTTGTTATGGCTTTGAACTCATCAAAGAACTTGGCCTCTTGCTGTTCAAGCCCGTCTACGCGAATGACTTGGTCTTTGCAGAAAGCTGAAATCAGTGGATCGCTCACATCATTCCACACAACACAGTCATCGCACCCATTATCTTGGGGGGCTTTCCTACTTTTTTAACCGGCGGGATCAATGGATTTGACATAGTGGATGATACGAGGTCGGTAGATCGTTCGTCCTGATTGAGCCTAGATTGTAAGTGTGTCGATTCCTTGCGCCTGCGAGATTACTTCAAGGGGTGTAACGGTAGCCAACGCTCCTGCCTAAATAGCAAGCACCCCAAGCACCCCAAGGTCCCTCGGAAGCGTGCACAAAGGAAGGTGGTGATATGACGCTATATCGCGTATCGAGTCCTGCAAGTCCTTTCTTCGACCTATCCACTTGTAATTGAAGCAAAGACAGTTTTCCTGTTTCCTGTTGGGAAGTACGCTTCGCCGCTATGTGCAATCAACTGCAGTCTAGTCCAATCGAAGGGCTAAACCTTGGGGGAGGCGTCATGATGTTAGTCTTTGGTGGAACCCTCGAAAGGGCTCATTAGTGACGTAAAATGATGACCACATGTTCGTGTAAGGAAGGCGTGATAGGTCGTTATCTCCGTTAGGCAGTGGTCTTCGACCTGCAGGTTGTGAAAGGCAGCTAGATCATCCCTAATATCCCCAGCCGATACCGTTGCGGCGCCGCAATTACCCTTCCGAGTCTCCATCTTCCAAAACATCATTGCATCAAGGCATTCCACGACCAGGTCGATTTGGTTGGCGTACTACAAGCTCCACCAGCGCACTTCGAAACGCTTGACCGCTCTACTTGGTCTGATGACGCCTCAACTTTCCGGGGATATGCACAAAGTTTTCCGCTAGACGAGTGAAAGCAGTTGGTTAGTTTCAGGCGCACATCACGAGGCGCAAGGTAAGAGGGTCCCAACGTACCGTACGACTTGGGCGGTATCCTTTCCTTGTGTTCCTTGTCAACGTGGTAGTTCCAGCCTTGCTTCTCGGCCTGTAGCAAGAGAAAGAGAAAGAGAAAGAGAAAGAGAGAGAGAGAGAGATCGTGTATCAGCGAGAGCACGAAAGAGACAACACAAAGCGGAAAGGATGGAGCAGGGACATACGAAGTGAATGGCATCTTCCTTGGTCCAGAATTTCATGGTGGTACCTTGCATGTAATCGGCGCTGCACGAAATGACAAGGTGTAAGCAGGCGTGTATGGTAACGATAAGGATAGCCGGAACCAAAGCGATTACAGAGTAATATCGTAGGCGACACGACCTTGTGCACGTCTGGATCGCGCACCCGGTGGCATATCCGAACTTCGGAGAGTTCGCATCTGTCCACCTGCTTCGGGTTATTGATCCTGTGGCACCCACAAGTCGCAAGGTTGAAAGACAAGCAGTGATCTTCTACCCTGGTTCCTATCCCCCGACACTGTTGCCAAGGATCTCTGCTCCGAAGTACTTGCCGGTAACACATCGATACCCCGATCTCTAAACTGCTTCCAGTTGACCGGCAACGGCCCGTTGGAATACACGCGGCTAGAACGCCCATCGGTCGTCCTGCTCATCCATCGACCCAGACCAGCAAATCCTGTACATTCTCTTCGGACGGCGCTGTAGGATTGACATTTGACAAACACAACTCGTGGAAGCGATACACGACGAGACATGCCGCGCCCATCAAGTGCAAAGTCCCCACAGCGAACCGCACACCTGGGGTAGCATCGCCACTCCCAACCACAACGATCCGCAATCCAGAACCGAGCAAACCGCAAACTCGAACCCGAAAAGGAAAAACATGACTCACGTACTACCCCAACCCATCAACGGGTTCTCCCACCTACCCGCTCCCTCGAGCACATCAAAGTCGATCCTCCAGTGTCCGTTCCCTTGTTTACCGGATTGCATGGTCGATTTGGTGGGGCTAAAGATCCGGACCGTTCGGTGGTGGAGGGCGGCTGCGGGAGAAAAAGGAGAAGGCGTAAGAGTCAGTACGGATCGATCGTTGTCCCTTCAACACATTGCCGTTCGCTCGCCCTGCTGATTGGGCATCCAAGCCGATGGCCGAAATCACCATGACTAGGGCCCTGCCTTGCGCGTTCACCGTCGTCGTCCAGCAAGGCCCACACGTTCCGCCATCCGAACAGTGACGCCAGATTCGACACCAATTGCCAACCGGCCAAAGTCATCCTCGTTGAGCACGTTTTCTACTTCTCAGACCGGTCACGAGGCAGGAGGGGCAGACTGGAGGATATACGACTAGGAGGGCATGAACCACCACCCTCTTCCAGCCCACTTTGCAGTGAATCGTCTTCTCCCACGTCGGAAACACCTCCACCGTGTCCGCCCCAGTTCACTCAACCTCCCACATACACTGCTTGGCACCCGACAAAAAGACGCATCCGCTGTCGTATCGCACCGCAACGCAACGATCACACTGGCCAACGGGCGAGACGAAACGATCATGACCAGGCTCGTACATGGTCCTTCGACATCGCAGCCTTTCCTGCTCCGATCTGAATCTTCAAGGTCGATCAGGCAAGCGCGGCGGGTGAAAATGACCCTTTGCCCTTGACATCCACATGAGCAACCAGAAGCACGAGCCTTCCCTCCACGCGAGTCTGGTAGGCGCTTCTTCATCCTCTCCGAAAGAACCGACCGACTCATCAAGTGATAGCCCAAAGATCCCAAGAAAGCCCGCTCGCCCGCCCACGTTTCCTACCGACCGACCGGTCCCACCTCTCCTTGCCCTCCCACGGATCCTTGAATGCATCAGCTCACCACTGGCCACTTGGGCTGCCGAGACGCCACCAATTCCGCTTCGCCTCGCCTCGCCTTAACCTCTTCTAACGTCCAAAGTCCAAAGTACAGCCCTTTCCCTGCTCACCCTCTTCACCGTGTGAGACGAGTACGCGCAAGAAACAAGAAACAAGAAACAAGAAAAGACAAAACGGGTGCAAGGCCGTCCGAGGTGGATGGCAAGCGAGCGTTGTTACGGCCGTCCTCTACTGCTGACACGGGAATAGAATTCGGACGCTTGGGGAACAAGGAATGAGAGAGAAACGAGGACAAGAAAGGTTATTGTCGTTCTCCGTTTTCCGATCTCCTACCTCCGATCTCCTAAATATGACCACGCTCGATCCAACAGCTGCACCACCAACGACGAGGCTAGAACGAGCGCTATGTCGTCTTTGAAGCCATTCCGCACAAAGAAATGAACACGAAAAAAGGAAGAAAGAAAGAAGACAAACGCTAGCTCTCTCCGCTCTCTTCCCTGCCCTGTAGTCCTCCAGTCCTCTGGCTCTCTGCATTCCATAGCGGTTGTAAGAGAAACAACCTGCGTTCGGTCGTGCAACCCTGGATGTCCATGTTCGTATCTGCGGTCGCTGTCACCCGACAGACGCACAAACAGACGAACAGACACACAAACGAACGCACAAACGAACGAATGAACGAACTGGTTGATTCACTCCCCCTTTTTGTTGAATGTTCCGGTCGTATCCGTGAGACCCGGTTGGTTCACACAATCTCGCGGGGTTGGAGGATGTTTTGTTCGCCTTGCATATTCTGTCCGGCCTTTTCTATTCGCGACTGCTGGACGCTTTTTCACGTTCGTTCGCAGCTTCC